GTCAATTTTTTCTCGACTACGTCTTCCTCAAAAATTCGGGAGTAGATGTTAGACTCGTTACTATCAAATCCTTATTCATAATCGGCAAGAAGACAGGAAGAAGGAGAATGTCTTTTAGCTTGTTTGTAAATCATTGATGCGCCCCAAAGGCAAATTTCAATGGCACAGGCTAAGGGCTGAGGGTCGGCATCAGTTTGCTTCTCAGTCAGCATTGTGAGAAGAAACTCAGTGACACTGTGTGGTTGTCGGTAGAAGTGTGACACTTGAACCTCTTTCATATTTCTCCAGCATTCTGCGGGGATTGAAATGTGATCGGAGAGTGGTGTGGTAGACAAGGTGATTTTTTGTCGGTATATTTTATTGCCAGTGTTTGTTTAGATCACTGCATGGTAAATTTTGTGAAGCCGGGCTTGCTGGGCACAAAATTGGAATTTGCAAATCGCTTTGCGAACATAATCAACCGAGGAAGAATCAAAGATGCGACACCGGCTGAAGTGCGCCATATGAAGAAGCGGTGCCATGTTCTTTATGAGCATCTGAAGAAAGTTGTTGATGTAAGCTGGGCCTTGCATTCTCTGATCTTTGCTTGCAGCTGCTCGTTTGCGTGTCGCAAATGAAAAGCCGTGTTGTGGGAATGTAATTCTGTTAGGCTTCCACGAATTTCCATTCCAGGCATCTCTTGTGGTGTAGAAGTGGCAGTGGAGTAGGCAGTGTCGAGACGGGGCGGGCTGCAAACTCTGGCAACCCCAATCTTGTCGAGAGACTTTGTACCACATTTTTTTGGGTTTACCCAGTGCTATCCTGACTAGCAGTTGGTAATGTCACAGAGGACATAGAGCTATGCGCGAGATACAAAACTGACTCTTTTATCATGTGGCATGAGAAAGTTCATAACTCGGGGACCGGGCAAGTTCATAACTCGGGGATCTGAGATGCTAGAAGACTGTAACATTAAGAGGGTGTTTCTCGCCTACACTAATCTCAACGAGATCAAACCCAGCCCTCGGTCATACGTGGTACCTACGCACGGGTTCACCCTTATCTAGTTGCGGCAAAAAAAGCATATCTCCGATATCTCCCACGGTTTATAAGGTCACTTTTGGGAGGGGTTCAAAATAGACGATGCCACCATCTACATTAAATGACAAGAAGAGGCGTCGCAACAGAACAGCAAATCAAAATATAAGACTACTTAAATATCAGAATATCATTTATTGTTATTATTATTATTATTGTTTTTTGAATAATTGCATAATTTGTAGCGCAAGGATTATCGCGTTTTGACGGAAGCAATCCCAGGAAAGCAGGAATATGTGATAAATGTGCGACTGACTCCGCGGCAGGTATCACTTTATCGCGCATTCCTCGATGGTATTGGGCGTGAAAGTGTCAGACTTAACAAACGACTGCTGTCGGACTACCACATGCTCTCACGCATTTGGACTCATCCATATCAGCTCATCATGCATCAGATCGCCGTTGAAAAAAAGGTATTTCTTTCAACTGTTTTACGCCGTCAGAGCTTTCTACGTTCATTTCTTTGTTCTCTGAGATCTATGCTTTTTGGTGCTTGCATGCTTTGCATGATGAGAAATCAATAATCTCAGCTTTCAACTCGTTATTCAGTCAGTTTTCGGAATTGAGCACCGTCGACGCTCGCTCACATCCTCAGTTCTCTCGTTCGTCACAGAAAATGGGAAATAATGAGAGATTCAACTTTCCTTTTGGTTAAAACATCTAATATGAAATATCTGAGCAAGTTCCAGTCCTTCAGTAAGGTTGGCAGCTTTCTCCAGTTGCTGCCAGCATATTTTACGGCGCACTTTTTCTGAAGGAAATCTCCAGACAGAAACAGTTGATAAACATCCAGCCATGGTGAGGGTTTTGAGCAACACTGTCCCTTTGTCCATTTCTAGACCACGGTGAAACACCTTACGGATTAGGAAAGGTG